TTGCTAGATTAAATATTTGATCTGGATCAAAATGTGGATTAAAGCTAAAGCTCCCTGCTGAAATCAGAATCTAATTTATGTAAAAGCACACACTGTAATTCTCTCCACAAGGCAGTGAGAAATGCCCTAAAATCCCCATTTCCCACTGGGCTGCACTCAAGGCTTTTGAGGAGGGGTCCAAGCCCATACTGCCATCGTGACTGGGACTGTTCCAGCTCATTCCTAAACATGTCTGCAGCCTGCAGTACTGCACCTGCCCAGAAAAATCACTTGAGGAGAGATGGTGCCTGCCTGATGAGGCAGTAGCCCAAGGAGTAATTTCCATAAACAATGACTTTCCAAACATCTGAAAAGATTGCTCAAAACGACGCTACTGTGAGGTGACCCCATTCATCCTAGCTCAGCCAGGCTCCATGACCACTTTGTGATAACAGAAGTTTTCAAAAAGGTAGATTCTAAGAAGAGCATGCACATTTATTGAGAACGTTTACCCTATGTTTCTCGCACTGTGAAAATGCCCAGTCTTGTTAAAAAAAGACACCGGCCAAAAATCTCAGGCCTGTTGATACAGTTGAAGTCAGGAATTTATGGCTTTTTAACCAATTTATCTTGAATTTCTCAAATACGAATGTTTAAATATGGAGGGACAATTCATTTGTGAGTCCTGCTGGTAGAGTCTCCACGTTCAGCCTGCACAGTGTCTTGAACACATTAAGAAGAGGTTAAAGGAAGGAAATACATCATGATTTAAAATTCCTGGGAAAGTCGGGTTGAGGCTGCAGGGAGGGTTACTGTCGTGAGAGAGTGCCCAGCAGAGGAGTTAGGATCAGGAGAAAACCAGGTCGTGTTGTGAAGTCATTTTCTCGACAGCGTGGGGCACAGGGGCCGGATGGATTTCTAGGGTTTGGATTCTTGGAGAGTTTTATTTTTCCTGCTCTGGCACCTCATCAGTGGGAGACTTCAAAGGAAAACGTGAATGGATGCCCACCATTTGCACATCTAAATGCTGCTCTGGTGTCCAGATGGAACGACGGTGGAGCTGCACTCAAAGCTCTTGAGGAGGGGTTCTGCCTCACACAAGACAATTTCA